ATTTTGTATCGTATAGGCGTTTCGTCCAGACGGATACGGCGTTTTGGGAGAGTGAAACCGATATTTTTTTAAACCGGGTCCCAGAGTGGATAAATCTGAAAACGCCACCCTTGCGTTTTCGTGTGGACAGCCAATCCGTATATTTTCTGAAACTATGAAGTCATCAGCCCATGTCTCGATCCTAGTCAGACACCGTTACGTCACGTAACAGCAACAAAAACATGAACAGACACTGAACGATTGTCTTTTTAATAACTAACATTAACACAGATTAATAAATGTATTGTTCCATGTTCGTTTATATACCGCACGCAAGGTTTATGCGCATAGTCCAAGTCTTCTCCGTTTTTAGTGTATCTCTGTGGCAGAATTACAGCGCCACATGCTGGTCTGGCATGTATACTACATTGTTTTTTTGTCGGTTTCGTGTGGACGCAGATATTTCTTGAGACTAGGGAAAAAAAAAGATCAGATAGGGAAAGCTCTGGCTTCGTGTGGACGTAGCCTTAGTCTTTGCAACTTTACAGATCTTCTTTATGCACCAAGAGCTTGTAACACTCCAAAGAGAAAGGAAAAATTGAAATCGCATCATATGACCCCTTTAACATTTTAAGTGTGTCAAACTTCCCATGGGTCGAAGTAGCCTATAGTTCATCACACATAATGTCAAGTATTACAACAACAAATAAAACACTATCTTTATGGATTTATTTAGCTCTGTCTGCACTAAAAAGCCTTGAGCTTATATAAATGCTATAAAAAGCACTTATCCTTCTTAAATTTATTATTGAGTATGTGTAAGGATGAAGCCAAATCTAGTACTTTATGAGATGTTTTAGTGCCAAACTACGAATATGCTGCGACAAAATTTTTTTTTCACGTTTCCACAGAAATATTAAACACCAACTGTTTTCAAATCAGCATATTAGAATGATTTCTGAAGGTTCATGTTACTGGCTGCTGTAAACAATGAGAATTAAACTAGGAGGTTATTGAAGCCAATACTACAAGGTTGCATGAGGACAGAGGTGGTTCATGGAAAATTGTGGAAGAAAGATGGAGGTGTAAAACACAAAGCAGATGGCTCACCGCATTGTTGTGACTAAACGTCCCTGAGTAAAATCTAACCAGATCTCTCGTTATGGTGAAGCCGTCCCATGAAGAGGCTCATGATGAAGATTAACTAATTTTTTTCTCACACTTACACCTCTAGAGCTTAGCATGCACAGAAACAGTTCACTTACCACTTGGACTCTTTAAAAAGGTTTTTTTTTTTTTTTGCATTCTTTTTATGTGTGTGTGCATGCTGCAGGAATTCTAAAATACAGAAAAAAATACATTTACAATAAATAAATAAATCAATGGATAGAAATACGGTGAATTCATAAAACAATAAAAAAGATTAAAATATTTTTTTGTACAAAAAATACATACGAAAATATATATGGAACATAATTGAAAGAAAAAATATTTATATAAATAAATATAAAAAAAATAATTATAAGTGGAATAAAAATATAAAGTAAAACAACTATCTCTCTCCTCCCTGGTGAAGAGTGATGTTTTTCCCTCCATGAAGGAACTTAAAAGAGGGGAACTGAGGCTGAGGGGGTATTTGAGGCCACTGCTGATCTGAGACACTCTCTATTTAGCCGCCCACTTCCTGTCCACCAGACAGATGGGCAATTGGAGCACAGCCTGTTTCCATGACAACTCTTTTGGATACAGCTAGCTGAAAGCCACAGGACACACAGACAGCCAAATAAAATACAAGGGCCCAAGTGGCTTTTATTGGAGCTTCAGATGTGTATCTGATACAAAAAAGAAACATGTCTGACCAATAGTTAAGAAGTAAAGGAAAACAATATCTGTGTGTATAAGAACACTTAAATATGCACATTAAATCCAAATCAGACATTAACAACAAACTACAAATATTCCCATTTGCATAAATAGATCATTTTGAATGATTCCATGTAAAAATGTAAAATAGTATAGAAAACTTTGTTATAGTTAAAAAAACAGTCCCATCCCAGTGTCAATAAATATATACAAAAGAAATGATACAAAGAGTGTATCAGTTACATTTAGAAAAATGAATCAAAAGCTGTACATTTAATCAGAAACAAAAAAAATTTAGAAAGGGGAATGCATAATCAGAAGTGAAATATGAATTATAGTTTTAGCATGTGCACTGAGGTCAGTACAATCAAAATAACAGTAGTTTATGGGGCATCATATAATGGTTACTGTGTAACCAAATAAACAAAATGTAACTATTTATTTGATTGTCTTCAAAGATACTTGCATGCACTTCCTGATATTGTAACTTTGGTAATCATGAATTACATTAGCACTGATTGCAAATTCAACAAAATCACAGTTCATTTGCTAGCAATACAAAATAATGTGCTTATAAATCTCTAGTGTTATTTAGTTAAAACAAAGAAAGTTTATACCGATTCTCTATGGATCACATTTTGAAAATGCCTTCTGAAGGATTTATCAGAGGCCCTGTTGTATGGACCTTATTTGTTCATATAAGGAATGACAGACTTTGGGGAAGTCTAAAGTTGAATTTAGATTGATGTTGATTTTTTTCTAGGGAATAAAAGTTACACACATACTGTACAGTGCTTGTGACACTGCATCTCATAGAGTTGCTGAGCAAGAGATAATATACTGTACTCACTAAATACTGCTCAGGGTTATTAATATCAATACACATTCCCCAAACCCATTTCACTACATCCTATTCATTCATCCTTTTTTGAGATTAGCATCTCCAGTGCTATGACTTTAAAGAGGAAAACTAATAGTAAATTGTAATTGTGACCTCTCTTTCAGCATCACAAAACAATTGAGAAGGGATAAAAAGACAGCCATCTGCTTATACTCAGGTAAAATAGAAAATATGGCTCAAAACCTTCAAGGTATTTGGCAGAAACACATCAGAGAGATTCTATTATTTCACTCTCAATTCACAAAGTACTTAAGGCTCATATACTGTATTAGGTCACCCCACAACTGTTCATTAGACTATGCTAAAAGATGACAGTGAGTTGCTGAGGGATCTGTTGTGTCCTAATAGATCAGGAAGCCTGGTGTAAACCAGTCTGTAGGATCTTCAAATCTCTGTCAGCGTGAGCTTAAACATTCCTCCCATTTCCTCAATCTGGATCTGGAAGGTGTCCTCGTTGGAGTAGTGCTTGATGATGTTGTCGTCCATGTTTACCAAGATCCTGAAAAGAACCAGAGATGGAGGGACACTGTGGTTTAGTTTTACCCCTGACTGACTGGGGTTCAGTGATTGATCAAACGGTTAAATTAGGTCTGTCAATTTAACATGGCAATTTAGTAAAATGATTTACAAAATACATTCATAAAAATACATTATAAAAATAAAAAGAGTTTTTAGTAATTTAATAATTTGCAAAAAAAAATTATGCAATTATTTTTACATTTTCGATCTTAGAATAAATGACAAATGAATTTTGTAATTGAATTAATTTGAATAAAAACGTGTAATTTTTTAGTTCTAGATTTATATTTTTAATTTATTAATTTATTTTTTATTTATATTTGATTCGTTTCATTAAACTCATCAGTTATAATCATTAAAAATACAAATTAATAAATGAAAAATATAAATCTAGAAAAAATAAATGGAATTAATTAAATTAAAAATAATGAACTTAATGCAAACCACAGCCCCTAAATGTAATCGAGTGACAGCCCTAGTTTAAAGAAATCTTACCCTTTCTTGCATTTCTTGCAGACCTTTCCCATCTTCTCAAGAGGAACGTCATATTTCTCTGAAATCTGGTGGAGAGCAAATCCATTAGCAGGAAGTTAAGTCTATTAACATACAGTTGTTAATTACATAGCAGTAAGGACAGCAATTGATCATTTTAAGCAACTCAGCACAATAATAATGAAATGTGTATGTATTTCTTTGCAAGTACACTTAAATAATTAGACTTTTAGAATGGCTGAAAGAAACACTGTTACTCAATACAAGGTGGTTACAATAAAACAAATCCATCTTAAAAATCACAGACTGGTCCCTTCCTTTAAAAAGACAGTTCAAAGAAGCTATTTAAAAAAAAAAACTATCTTTATTCATCAAAGACATTTGATAACAGACATTTATCAAAGTATCTTCTTTTATGTTCCACAAATGGTGACAGAATTTTCATGTTTGAGTGAACTATCCATTTAAAGCAGTAATTCGGTGAGTAATGCAACACTATGTACTGATTAAATGGAACATTTGTAGGCCTAAGTAAGTTTTCAAGCCAACTAGTATCAAAGTTCATCTTATTTCGGGATACGAGTGGTTCAGTTTAATGTTTTCCCAACCCCCCCTGACGTTATCCTAACATTCCCTCTTCCCATTCTCAAACCTGGCTGGAGTGTTGCAATGCTTGGTTAGCGTTGTGTTACGCACACTACATTCTTATACCTGTCACAGGAACCTCTTTAGCCCTTGTCAGCTTTTGTGATTATTAGATGGATGTGTTTGTGAGCCAGCGTGATTCTCGTTGTGGCCTCCTGCAATGTTTTAATGCAGACGGCCTGTTGACAATCGATCTCCTGCTATGTAACTCAATGCCCCCATTAAATCACCCAGCTTCAGACTCTAATTTCAGGGACTTTTCTGCACTGGCCACATGTTAGTGCACTTCTCTGGCATCTGAATTTCTCTGGGAGGTGCTGTGCTGCATTAGAAACGTAGATGTGGGTTTGGATGGGATGTATAATTTTTGGGTGGGAGCTTTCTTGGAAGGAGTATTCGTGTGTGTTATTGTCTGTTTGTGTGGTGCAAGCGATGCATTACTAAACAAAATTATACTGTTACAATGTTTAGAACATTAAATGAATGTTTTCCCCCATTCTTTCTGTGGCTGTGTCCTTAAATAACCCTGCACTACAGGCAGTGAACCTGTGTTAGATATATTAGATTTACATTTCCTAAAGAAATCTGAGTGGTTCTTGTCTAAACAACATACGGTACCATGACGCTAATGTCATAGGTGGTCAGTTATGCAGTTATTGCAAAGGTACTCTTCTAGTGTTTTTAGTGCACTGCTATTAGTTTTATCATCAGGCAGGGAAAAATTCAAAGAATGATTGTTTCAAAAAGTGAAATCAATTCCAGGTCATATGGTGTTTTAAGTTAGCATGTTGCTAAGCTAACAGAACAACAGTCTAACAAGCATAAATTTACAAAGTACAAACACATATTTTATTTTATTTATTATACATTTATTATAAATTTATTATAAATATTTTATTTATTAAATAAGTTAAATTTTTTTATAAAATTGTATTAAATAATATATATTTTTAATAAACGGGCAAAACTCTTTGACATCTATAAACTATATTGGATTTATTTTTTATAGAGCTCATCGCAATGCATTATGGAAATGTTTTATGGTGTGCAACTGATTTCAGTAGAGTTTGATGTTGCACATGCAAATGTCAATTATTAAGCATAAAAATACAAACAACAAAAATATTTTCATAAATAAACCTAAATTAGTATTATTAGTAGTAGTATTATTAGTATTATTTTAGCGTCTTAATTTTATCATATTGTTGTTAGATAAAAATATGTTTTATGGATAATTTTATTGGATTTATTTTTTACACTGAGCCCATCACAATGCATAATGGGAATACTTTAGGTGGTAAAATTAATTTCAACAGAGTTTGATGTTAGCATGTTGTTAATCTAATACAATAATAAGCATAAAAACACAAAGCACACACAAATATTTTAGTAAATAAACCAGAATTATTATTTTTATTATTTTAGCATCTTAATTTTATAATTATTGTTATTGTTGTTGCTGCTAAATACAAATATTTTTTAATTACACTATGTTATTGAAAATTTTATCGGATTTATTTTTTTACACTGAGCTGTTCACAATGCATTATGGGTAGGGATGTAACGATTAACCGCGAGCCGGTTGAAAATCGATTTAAATATGTGACGATTCAAATCGGTTGAGATGCTAAACAAATCGCGATTCAATTAGGGGTAGGAGTTTATATGAATGTATGTCTGAGGGGAACTTACTGTCTTTCAGTGGTATTTTTTCTTTTCATCTTGCCTCTGTATAATGCATATTAAAGGACCCGGTATTTCGGTACCAAGTCGCAAGTGATATATTAGTATATTATTATAGCGTTAGTCTATATTTCAATTTCACAAAGAAACGTACAGTATTTTGTCCAAGCAATAATAAAAGGACACATTTAATTTATAATTTGTCTTAAATCTCATTTTGTTAGAAAAAAAGTATGAATCGAATCGAATCGTGAAATCAAAATCGTGAACCGAATCATGAGTTGAGTGAATCGTTACATCCCTAATTATGGGAATGCTTTAGTTGGTGCAATTGATTTCAATAGTTTGATGTTAGCATGTTGTTAATCTAATACCATAATAAGCATAAAAACACAACCAAATATTTTAGTAAATAAATCAGACTTATTTATTTATTGAATTTATTTATTTACCTACTTACACTTTTTTTATGGATACTTTTTAATGTCTACTATATTGGATGTATTTTATAGCCTAAGGTGAGGTGTACTCACCATTTCCTAACCGTATATGATCAATAGTAATGCTTGCTTTAGCAAACGGCAATAATAATGTTGAATGTGGACATTTGGGAAAAGAGTAGTGAACTCACCGCTTCCACCAGGCCTTTTAGAGTGGGAGTTTTCAGCATGAGAGCATCAAACACTTCCTCTGCCTCCTTGCGCACATACAGCAAAACTGCAAAGGCAGAGAAATGTGGTCAGCTATGGTCACTCATGCACAAACTGCAAGCCCAGTTTTCTTTAAACTGAGGTCAGACTTGGAAACCAACATAAACTAGAAAGTAAAGTCCAAGTCATCTGCCAAGGATATCATGTGGCAGAAAATTTGATATGCTCTTCTAATGCATGCCTTTAATAACCTTGTGCCTCACATGCTGTTCCCTGTAGTTGGGGATGCTGCTGATATCTATAAACACCGGTGCCGTCCCCTCCTCCCCTTTCACCCAAAAACCCCAGAAGGACTGGGCAGCATCCCAAGCCATTACTGGGAACACTGAGCTACAGCAAGGGATGTTCAGTGATGTGGACAGTCCGAAGTACACAGATTACACACATTACATTCTATTCCAAAGCCGACGTGTTGCCTTTGGCAAGACGTTTGGTTAAATCCACACAAACACGCACCCTCCCACACATGGCTGATCGTGACTGCTATTCGATAGCTAAACAAGCAGAGGATGGCCACAGAGAGACAAGGCATCGTGTTGGGAGGGCTAGCAGCCTTCGATGACCTGCAAATTTCCGTTCTTTATATACTAAATCCCACCCATGTTTGGTTCTGCATCCTTTGTTAAAGGGGTCATATGAAGTTGCTAAAAAGAACATTATTTTGTGTATTTGGTGTAATGAAATGTGTTTATGCGGTTTAAGGTTAAAAAAACACATTATTTTCCACATACTGTACATTATTGTTTCTCCTCTATGCCCCACCTTTCTGAAACGCGTCGATTTTTGGTGGCATTATGCTAATATTTCCACATATTGACGTAGATATGTGGGGGCGTGTTAAAATGAGCCATTTTAGGTAGGCGTGGTTAACTCTTAACTTTTATAAAGAATATCTCTTTGGATTTGAGACTTTAGTCTTTGCAACTTTACAGATCTTCTTTATGCACCAAGAGCTTGTAACACTCCAAAGAGAAAGGAAAAATTGAAATCGCATCATATGACCCCTTTAAAGTGATCTAAGCAGCAGTGATTGCCACTGAAATGTTGAGGCATGCTATAGTCTATAATTAGGACCTATCTGTGTACAAACAATAGCTCTGTTCCAAAACCTAGTCAGCTGAATCACTGCCTACTACCCACAAAGGCAACTGATCTGGACACTGGACAGAGTGACTCCGCACATCACGTAAACAGTGCCCCACACACGCAATTAATTAAAAAACAAAAGTTGAGCAAATCCATGAGCATGAGCCTACCCAGGCTCATTGGAAATATGTGCCTCTACGTAAATTTAAAACTTACCTATGCTTACGAATCACTGCAGTAGAAATGAGCACTAGAGGCAGTAAAACTCCTTTTCACACATACAAATTTACAGGGCCAGAGTACGGAGTACAGAGTCGATTAAGAAAGCCTAATTTGCGCACAATTACTTGCAGAATATTATGTTATTCAAACCAGTTTTAACATGCTGCAAGATTTGAAAACTGATACTTTTGAACATTAGCAGCTTCATATGTATGGGTTTTCTGTCCGTTAAGTTTGCTCGGTGGTTTGCACTTGTGAGTGGAAGAGCTCTGGTACAAATCCTGTGAAACTGCAGTTTGACAAAACAGCTGATACCTGCGTTTAAGGAAGTATAGCATAGTTGCATCAACGAATATGGTTTTATATCACTTTTGCATTCGTTAGCACTATCGGTTAGGTTTAGTGTTGGGTTTGGTATAGGGGGTGTTTTTCTAACACAATGGTGCATTATTCACTGCACATTTGAATTCTGAACCACCGCAATAAAAATGCAGCAATATGTGCCTGTACCAACGTAATAAAAATAAAAACATGGCCATGGTCCCGTATTGAACATGAATTTATCGCCACTCACTGGACATATCATTTTGAAACTGCAGCGAAACGTGCAGTAAGGTATGTAAAAATGGTGCTGCAGAAACGTCGCCACATGCACGTATTTCCTACGAGCCTGGGTTGGCATGAGCATGTTGCTAAGCTAATTAATATTACAATACACATCAAATTAATGACATGCTGTAGCACACACAAATACGGGGTGAAATAATCAAAATAAAGAACAAATTAAAAATATATATATATTATTATTATTATTATAAATATGAATAATAATAATAATAATCTCAATTTAAAACAATAATTTTTATATAAAAACAGATATTAGTGTTAAATCAAATTAAGTTATATATTATTATTTTAATTATATTATATATTATTATCGTTATTTTTATCATTATTATTATATTTTTTACAATTACTCAAAATTATTTTTAATTATATTATTTTATGGATACTCTTCAGTACTGCATGAAATGTAAATATAGGTGCATTCACGCCATGTCGGAATTATGAGATTCCAACTTGTAAAAAAACATCCACATCCTCATAGAACTTGTAAACTCAGAATTCTCTGAGAGCTCTAACTTGCAAAACTGATTTCAATAAAGTTTAATAACAGTTTAATGTTGCTAAGCTAATTAACACTCTAATAATCATAAAATAAATGACATAGCACACATACTGGGTAAAATAATAATTTTAAAAAACTATTTATATATAATTAATATATATATAAATAAAACATATATATTTTTAAATATTATTATTATTATTATTATTATGTTAACAATTATTTTCACAATTTGTTTGTTTACAATTTACAATTATTAAATATCTATTATTATATGTAGATTTTTTATATTAAAATTAAAAATATGTTATACTATTTTATGAATTCTTTTCAGTACTGTTCACATCATGTCAGAATTACTGTAATTACGAGTTTCTGACTTGTAAAAAGCATTGAAGTCCTCATAGAACTTGTAATTGCAACATGTAAACTCTGAATTTTCTGAGAGCTGTGACTTGTGACTGCTACAAATTCATTTTGGCGTTGATAGTGTTGCCACAGAAACACATAATTCCTAGTTCGTGGACATGAACACCTCCGAGTAGAACATCACGAGTTGCCATCTCATAATTACGGTAATTATAGCATGACTTGAACGCAGCATATATTTAAAACCAACATTTCTCTCAGAAAGTCTGCCATTTTTTATTTTTATTTTTACTGAGCATACTGCAGTGCATCATGGGATTGTCTTTTCCATGAAGGATACATGTGATATTGCCTTAGAGTTAGTCAAAAACAACATCTTAGGAGATATCCTTCATAGGCAGCTCACTAGGTTTTGGAACAGAGCAAATGTGTTTTGAATTAGGATGTTTTTGTGTGTGGTTACTCACAAGCAACCAAATGGCATTGCACCATAACAGTGCCGATACTTACAGCGCCAACAATACTGAAATAAACACAAAAATACCCAAAAAAATCTGTCTCATTCACAGCAGGGACAAAACAAATGACATATAACCCAGTTCCAGTTAAAACACACCTCTTTTGGGCTCATCCATCCTTGCCAGCTTATTGGGAGGTGATCCAAACTCCTCCTCGGAGTAAGGTAATCTCTTCATAGCTGAGCTGAACATTGAAAGAAGGAAGAGAGAGGAGACGATGAGAAAGATGCAGCAGATGAGTGTAGTTCTGAGAAAACCTCTATCCCTATTGAAAAAGAAGGCGCTAACAAGTACATCATTACCAATGACACAAAGAGCACCTGCACATTTCCTGGAAGCGCTGTACAGGGAGCAGGGCTTCAGGGCAGAGCTAATGGCCGTATTGCTCTAATAATGCACATTTGAAACCCTCCCCAGTCTTGAACAAACATTGCTGACATAAATGAGCACAAAGTAGGCAAAAGACAGAAACTCACCCCTCCTCTGAGTCCTCCGGAGAGAAAGGCTGCAATGAGAAAAGCCACAAAAGAAGCTAAATAACATTCATTAACAAATACCTTTAATATTTCAGAAAAAGGGGGTCATTTTTCAGGCCAAGAGCTCCATGCACTGTAAAAATGTTGTACTGAAAATTTTCAGTTGGTTCAAGTGCCAGTGTTAAAAGTCTTTCAGTTCAAAGCAAGTCAACATAAAATGTTGAGTTTGGACCTCTCAAATAATTTACATTATATTAATAATATTAAGCAGCACAACTGTTCAACATTGATAATAATAAATATTTGTGAGCAGCAAATCTGCATATTAGAATGATTTCTGAAGGATCATGTGACACTCAAAACTGGAGTAATGAATGCTACTGAAAGTTCAGCTTTGCCATCACAGGAATACATTACATTTTAAAATAGATTTTAAAAAGAAAACAGCTGTTTTCAATTGTAATAATATTTCAGGATATTTACGTACTTTGCCATGAAGCTCACATTTAAAAGTCATTAAAAACATTATATTTTAATTTTACTTGATGTATTTTATTGTTGGAGGAGAAATAAACATTCAGCTGAACTGCTTCATTTTGTTTGCCGCAAAAATCTGTTTAAGATGAAACAACAATTTCCAGATCCCCTGCAGGATGACCGCAGACCCCCTGTTGAAGACCCCTGGGTTAAACCATGAACACATGCTAACACGGTTAACCTACTTGGGATAATTAATTATGCGCTTGTAAATTGAGACCAACTTTTTTTTTTTTTGCTCCAAGTCCTGCATACTGCAGTGTAAACTCATCACAAAAGACCCCCAGAGTAAAATCTGACCATTCAGAACAATAGCAAGAACATTTGAATCAACACCGATGCATTGTATAAGCACATAAAAACACATCTTTCCACAGCTCTGAACTCGCTTTGTTTGTGTAACACTAAAAAGTATGGCAAAGTTCACTTTTCTTGTTCTTTTGGCATGTGATTTTAGTGAAAAGTAAATAGCCAGAGGGTTTATTTTTGGATCTAGATATACTCTGGGTTTCAATGTCACACAACTAACTGATGATCAAAGGTCATGTTAGACAGGACACTGTCTAACATTGCTCTCCTGTGTGTCATGTGATTTTAGTTGTATAGGTGACCAGGTTTTTGAGTCAAAGGTGGACAGTGAAGTTAAAGGAAGGTTTCTACCAAGAAACTGAACTGATTTAAAAAATAACTTCCAGGTCTAAGACATGTGAGTCAGTGATGGGTACCATTGATGTTTATGACCGGAATGGCACGCTGAACAAAGTTGGCGGGGTAAATTATGCATGTTTTGATTTGTTAAGAAACCGTGCGTGGGCTTTAGATGTGATCCCTTGCCAAGAACCCTCTGATAACAGCCAATCCCATGCCATAAATGGCAGATTTCATAACCGTGAGAAATGACTGTATTCCTTCCAACTGACTGCATCATTCTGGTCACCGTGACCCAACGACAATCTGCTGTTTCCGTGACATGTTTCAGCAGTCTGCACTCACACAAGCAATAAAGAGCACTGAAATGATGATGTCAATATGCTTTTACCTACAGCCACTTATATGTAAATGGTAATATGGAACATTTCTGCTAAGAGGCTTCATCACAGAGGCACTGGCACATAGATAATTAATACTTTTTGCCAGAGACCACAAATCATAATCTTAAACAGATTTTTTTTTTTTAACACTCCCAAGAGAATTATATATGTTTAATAGGTTTTAATACATATACTTAATTACATATACTTGATACTTAATTACTTTTCTTAATTTAATGTAAATAAAAATAAAGTAAAATTCATTGAGCTTTGACTAAGTCAGACAAAATTATTAAAAAATATGCAAGGGAAAAATTTAAGTTTAATGTAGATATATCATATATTATTATTTCATTAAAAATGTATAATATATTTTTTGAATTTATTAATAAATTATAATTATATAAATTTTATTGGGAAAAGGTGATAAACTGTTCAAACAAAAGCCAGGTTGCTCTATCTTTTTTCCCATTACCCCAATCTTGCACCAGCATTTTCTGATGTCATTCATTTTTCTCAGACTGAACCATCTCTGGCAAAGCCTAACAGAAAAGATTCTGGATTGCTAATGCAAAAGCTGCAAGTTTAGTGCCATGCAGAAGTAACCCAGAAACTGGAGAGTTACTGAGCTCAAAATCAACCTAAACTATATGATTGTGCTCACATTCTGCAAAAATACATTATCGTAAATTCTCGTATCTTCGTATCTTATCACCAGTGCTCACATGCAATGTGTCATAACACACACTGCATAATCTACATGTCTAGCAGCTGTATACTTGTAGAGCACAGTGCATTTGAGTTTCATAAAGCAGCAAATATCATAATCTTTTTAGATTTGTTCATGGGGCGGGTCTATAAAGCTGATATGCACTTATTGACCCCCAACTGTTTCAAAGAGGTCATTTGAAACTTACAAACTTTGACTGTATATCTGATATTTGTAATTGTGACATTAAAAAAAGTTGTGCACACAGTGTACTCACATGACGCTGGAAGGTGGAGAAATGGATGTCGGGGATGAAAAGAACAGGCTGCGTCTCGAAGTCCGTCATTGTCTTGAAGATGGTGATGTCGCTGCGCTTGTGCAGAAGGGGAACCTTGACATCTGGCCCAACTGGGAAAAATGGGGCAAGGACAGTGTGAAAAACACCTCTTACTGGAACTCTAGTCACACGTTTCTACTACGAAGCACCATCATGTCAGTTAAATCTACACGTCAAAGTAAAAACCTGAAGCTGTGCTTACAATTTCCCAAAGGAGGGTTGACTTCAGGGCATTTGCCCTTCCTACGGGACTGTTTCCTCTCCTCATCACGGATCTTGCGCTCTGCACCCTTGTCGCAGAAGACCTTAATCTGGCAGTAAGCGCGGTGGATAGGCTTATTGCTGCGGTTGTTGTAGCTGTAGGTGTCGATCTGTAGGTTGAGCGGTAGGCCCTTCACTCCCTTCTGAGAGGAGAAGTCTGTGCTCAGACAGTTCACTGAGATGAAGATCTAACGAGGGAAGAGAGAGAACAATTAAATGCCATGTGGCCATCATTTGTAACAAATTGATCCTTGGAAATAAAGAGTATTGTTATGCTCAGTTCAACTTAAATTTCTTCAGTTGTGTAAAGTAAAAAAAAAGCAAAATTCACACTGAATATAAATTCTTACTAGTCCAAAAAATATATATATTATATATATTTTTTTTTCTTCCAGAATTAAAAAAAAAAAAAAAATAGTAAAATGTTAAAGTGCAGTGAATTGAAAGAACAACCAAGAGAAAACCTTAAAGTGCTTTTTTAGTCTTGAACTTCATTCACTGTGTGGGTAGCTTTGCTTGTTTTGAATTTATGAATACTGTTTTCTGTAAATGCATGAGGTGAATCTGGGAACACCAGACTGTGATGCCATTATCTGTGTTGTTTGTCGCCCCCTTTTGAAAACAGAATAGAATTACAGCACATATTGTTTTTAGACTTTGGGTTAATTTCCAGCACTCTGGAACTGCTGTTCCATCATGGTCTATAAAACAAACTTAATATATTATATAATGAAATAATTTTATTAAAACTGTGAAATTTTAAATATCAGTTACTTATTACTGTTTCGTCTATATTAATGTTTCTGGAAATACTCCATATGAAGCGTGCAACAGGTTTATAGGTAATTTACACTGGAAAAAAAAACAGTTATAGCTAGTAGTGATACATTTTTTTCAGGATTCTTTGATGGATATAAAGTAGACATTTTCTTTGTTACAATGTGAAAGTCTTTACTGTAACTTTTGATCAATTTAATGCATCCTCACTGAACAAAAGTATTATTTTCTTTAAAAAAAAAAAAAAATCTTACTGACCCTAAACTTTTGAATGGTTGTGTATATGTACAACTCTTAAACAGCATCCGTTTATTCCTACCACAGCAAAATTTACTTTAACTTTATTCAATGACAATACAGCATCTTACGTAATAATAGATTATTAACAAAAGGCCTGAGACAAAATAAGAATAAGAATTACAAACAAATGGTTTTTCAACTAATCATCAAATATTTGCACAAGCATTCACTCAATGCTTGTCATTTCTCAAAAAGTCCGCTAGGGAGCGCCACAAATCCATTCCAACCGTCCTTTTCCAAAGCTCTCAGGGTCTTGCCCTTTCTCTCTCTCCACTTTCTGTTTCTCTCTATCTGTCTTTCCCAAGCACACAGAATCCAAACCACTCCCACATGTAACACTGCAAACAGTCGGCACACAGGAGACTGTGCACACGGATGAGTATCCTACAGCGCCGGGCTTATTTTATGATCTGCATCCTGGTTATAGGACAACACTGCTCACTGCAAAAATACCCCATTTCAATTTTTAAACTTTGGATTATTTACTTGAATGTGACTAATTAGAACTATAATTACATGGATACACAACAAGGACTATTTCTCAGACAGATCTGCTTCAGATCTGTTCAGGAAACAACATGAAAATCAAAACTAATCAGAATGAGGCAGAGGATTTGAACCAAAATTTGTTTGTCACTTTGCGACGGGTTTAACCCGACTAGTCTCGACACACTCGTCAAACAGGATTCCATTAACTGTCAGTGCTCACTGCTCCCCCATCAGAGTTTCCTCATTCTTGATGCCATTGTTGGGCGTGTCTCCCCATAAACCCATCAGTTCAGCACGAAAATAAATAGGGCTGTCAGGCCTAACGATCTGAGAACTAATCATTTCAGCATTCACATACACCTAATCTCACTGAAACAACAAATATCTACATCAGCCCAGCATCTTCATCTTAAAAAAAAATGAAGTCAAGGTATTGGCCAATGTTAGAAAACACCAATGCCCAGCTCAAGTAACTAAACAAATCTTGGAAAGCCCCTTCTTCACACTTTCTTAGGATATTTCTTAATGTTTCTCGGGATACAGCACACTTTGTTTTTGTTGCCTTTTTTATGTACTCTTAAGAGTTATGCATATGGTCTATTGTATTTTGAGTGTAAATCTTCATGTTAGTCATACTTTTCCTAAAAGGTCATGTCTATTTTAAGATCCTTTATCGGCTTACCAAAAATACATACCACATGGAAACGAATTTAAAAAAGATGTTTGCTATTATTCACCTTTACACTAAAGCTTTTCAACAGAAAGTCACTTATTTTTTTAACAGATGTCAAGAGGCAAATCAAATAAAAAGAGCAATAATGTTGTTTATTAATTACACGTTTTCACTATGCAAACATTAGAAATGCCCTAAAATGTCTTTACCTTTGCTTCCTCGCTGATGTCCCATGTGAATGAAATGGCATTATATGAAATCTCCTCAATATTGCTGATGGTGTTGAAACTTTCTTTGTAGTCCGCTGTGGGAGACAAGAGAGGCTTGATTAATGAGTCTAGACAGACAAGTGGATGATTTACATTTTGTAAGAGAATGGATAAATGGGGAATGGAATATTTTGGTTGTATCATAAGTTGAAATCAATAGCACAGGCAGAAGTGACTATCATAGACTATAACTAAATGTTAATGGGCTTTTTAGATAAAATCAAGACAGTTAAACATAACTAGTTAATCAAGGCTTGTTACATATGTTGTACTTTACTAATATAATATTATGACATTAAAGGGATAGTCCACCCAAAAATAAAAATTTCTGTTATCATTTACTCAGTTGATGGTAGCCATTGACTTCCACAGTATTTTCCATACTATGGAAGTGAATGGCTACAGTCGACTCTTTAGTTATCAACATTCTTCAAAATATCTTATTTTATGTAAGAAACTCTTACAGGTTTGGAACAACATTAAGGGTGGGTAAATGTTGACATAATTTTCATTTTTGGGTGAACTATCCCTTTAAGTCATAAAGGGTATTTTCCCCTCAGAAGCTGACTTTCATTGAAAGCAAGATAATGTTGTGTACCCTTTCATGTTTTACAGTGCTCATCTTTTATTTGTTGTGTTCATTGTGGAGGTCATTGATGGCTCTCCCCTTGACCTATTGTCTTGTCCCCTCCTGCAGCCCCCCGCATTCCACTTTGTCTGTATGCCTGTTTGCTATCTGTACGCATTACTCCACCCTGAACTACACTGGACCCAGAGAATCAAAGAGACATGAAAGTATGAGTGAGATCAGTGAGTGTACTGATACCCCTAGACAAAGACTTCTCACCAATATCAATGCATCTCTGCTTGGCCGTGTGCTGTCTTGAGTGCCAGTATTTCCAGTGCTTGAGTTGGTCATCTCTGGATTTCTCTTCTCCGAACACTACCATCACAACACTCTGAAAAACAACATAGTGTTTGTTACTGTTTTCTATTAATGTACACACACTCTCAAACAAGTACTCGTACATTCAGTGGTACAGGAAGTATTTACACACTTACAAACTAATTTCACTGGAAAGTATCTGGACACTTACAGTAAGCTACACACAAAGATGTATGAATGTCATTACATTAGATAAGAAATTATCAAATGGCATCCGCTAACAAATGATACTAGAAAATTTATTTTTCCAAAACCATTTTTGCAATTACTTTTAACCAACTGGCAAAAAGCAATTATTAGTGGATGTGGAAGTTAACAACGGACCTGTTCCATGTTCCACATTTGGAACATGGAATAGAAAAAGAATAGAGAAAGCTAGTGTTAGAGGTCTTTTTTATATAGAAAACAAGCAGTTAGAAAACAAATAGAGTGCAAGTCTTAAAGGGTTTTAATAAAAAAAGAAAACAAATAGGTAAAATAGAATTAGAATAGAGAGTGCTAGAGGGTCAAATAAAATAAATAAATAAATATAATTATTTCTTTCAATATACTCTTCTTACCCTGACTTTACAGATGGGGCCATGCAGCAGTTTGCCATTGTCGGTTTCCCTGAGGGTGATGGGATAGAACTGTCCCTTGTTGAGGTATGTCATTGTGCCATCACCAGATTTCTGTCTGAGAGACTTGGAGGCATCTAATGTGTATTCAAAATTATTACTGTTGACCAAACATAAAAAAGGGGTCACCACTTAATACATATTTGCACCATCAGACCAAATACACCCATGACAATTTCCATGTTTGCTATTACACAGAAGAGGCAGCTTGTTATATTTGTTGTAGGCTGACATTCATTTACACATGGACCATGAGCACCTGTCAGGAGGATGCACCAGTGACCTATTCATGCTATTTGCATACACTCAGCTGATCTCTTAAATGGAATGAAGTTTTTTCTGAGGTTATGTTTGACATACCCTGACACTGTGTCAAAAGTGGCATAGTCCTCTTGCGGGATGGGACCCATGCCTAACTGGAGATCCCTTGGGAACGCGAACACCTGTAGCACACAAAAGAGGGGCAAGAGGGCCTGGCATTAGTGCAAACACCACATCACCACTCATTCAGTCAGTGGGCGAAAGCTGATTGCTAAAGCAAAAGAAAAAACAAACGGCTCTCCCTGTGTGTGCAAGGTTTTTGTAGAACTATCATTTCTAAGGAAATCCTCCCTCCAGGTTTAAAAAAAACAAAAAAACAGGTAAAGAGAGGGAGCGGGAATGAGAGCGGGCAAAAGAGAGAGAAAAGGCCCCGGCTATTATGTGAGAGGAAAATACAGCACTTTATTGTGTAAGAGAGACAATGGCATAATGACATGCTAGCTGCTATTTTGGCATGTTCAAATAAAAATAGGGAGGGGGCTCAATACAACAATGTCTTTAGAGTCACCAGGTAAATGAAGTATTGTCTGAGGGTGGGAGACAGGAGATATGTGCGTGTGTGTGTGTGAGAACTCACATCTGAGTTCTCTGGGAAGGTCGAGTCTGGGGTGCGTGGCTGAGTGTTCGGACTGAACTGGTTGTGGGGGAGCTGAGGGTCGAATACCACCGTGTGACTGTCTGGTTCTGAGCAGTGTGGATTGGGGACTGTGACGGAGAATCCATGTGATGGACCCTCAGTCTTCACTGGGTAGTTTGGCCCAGGCGCAATGGATACTGTCACTGTAGTATCGGGTGAGGGGAAAAGGCCTCTCTTGTCCTGGGTGTGCTGGTTCCCTGGAAGAACGATATTTACTCCTTTCAGAACCTGGATTCGGTTCTCTGGCGATGGCGCTTGGAGAGTGGTCATCAAGTTTCTGTTTGAAAATGAAAATGTAAAAAACAAAATATACAATATAAAATGTTTTAAAAATATTTTTCATTACTTACAAACAACTGATAAATGTAGAAGGTACACATTTAACTGCAACAAACATTGTTCTTCTTCACAAAAATGTGCAAAATGCACGGATGTCTAAACCTAATTTCAAAGATAAACCTAGTCATACTACCCACTGACAAAAAATAAATATAATCAATACGTTATATTTTAAAAATTAAACTACTAAATGTTAAAAAGGTAAACACATCAAGCGTCACCTTTTACAGATATTTGTTTACAAATTACTTGCTTTATATGTAGAATTTTGTAACATAAATGGAACGTATAGTAATAAATGTTTTGTGATTAAAAATGGATTACAGCCTCCCTTCCCTTTCTGTTGTGCCGCTTCTGGTTGACGCGCATGCGCATCCCTACGCGTACGCATAATCTTTTACCGATAGCTTGCTTGATTTTTATTTTTTTATTTTTTTTGCGAAATGTGAATAGTTGCTTGGCTTTAAACAATAATAAAATACAAAGTACAGATAAAAATATATCTGCGCTGGGGAAAATCCCCCAACACAAGCACGCTCAGACGGCAACATGAAATTCTACGCGCATGATGAAGCATTTAATATAAAGTGCTCTCATGCTTCGAACAGTTTAGTACTTTTTTTTACATTGATGTCAATGACGTAGTTTCAGCGTGCTCAGCGTACAGACCCAACAAATCGATCAAATAAATCGTTGCTGACAGTTTTCTTTATTAATTTTTGTTGATTAGTAAGCTAATTGCAGCCCTAGCAAAGAATAACATGAAGTAGGGTCTCATCTTCTCAGTATGGGAAAAACGACATTCACTATTGCATCTTTGATGAGAGCTTCACCTTTTGTTGGGATCCACATCAGAGCCCAGGACGTCAGCCTTTGGCTGGGATATTGTTCTCTTTTCCCGCGGCACCTGGGGAAAGTAAACAAACTCTATGTAAGTCTGACCACATCCAATAGCATCAGCTTTACCCATTATATCTGTCAATGAACATATTTAACATACTAGGTGACATTTTATGAAGCAACAGGATGTCAGATATCATTAAATTAATACTTGGTTATTTTGAACGCAAATAATTATCAAAAGCATTAAATAAGGTTTTGTTATTGTTATGTAAAGTTCCTCCTTTCATCCCCTTTAACAGAATAATTATATGATGTTTCCATATGTCTGTTTTAATTAATTTTTTAATACTTATATTACGTATATAATATTTTTTATACCTATTACATATTTAATGTTTTTTAACTTAAATGTATATATGAACTATATATATATATATATATATATATATATTTAATATTCATTTCATTTTATATTTTTATTGTGTTTGGTGTATTATTGCTATAGCAGTATTTTGGGTTTGCGAAAAGTGCATTGCAAATGATCATTATTATTATTGATGTTAATCTCTACTAGTCGAACCTTGTAGTATTCGTATAGAAAACCCAGAGCTGCGGCACTGTCTTCATCTCCATTGATGCTCATCATTGCCTTGGTGGCGGCTGTGAGGGGGTTCTCCAGGAACGACTTCCAGGCCTCATCCTCACTTGTGTAAGGACGCCGCTGGTTGTAAGCCGGATCATTCTGTAGCACGAGCACTGCCCGCTTACTGTGAGGAACAGTTCAGAAAGAGTCGTTAGTACTAGAACAACAGCTAAATGAATCGTCAGGCAGAGGTAGACGGGCTGTGTGATTTGTAAACACAAAGAGTCAAAAGGAACAAAATGATGGATGTTGAGCATCAACAATCTGAAGATGTTTTGGCATTATTGCTGGTGTCAAAGTTGACAAAAGAGCTGGCTGTTGTGAAAGGCCTTCTTTATCTTAGGATCTGTGACAAAACCGGCCCAAACAACAAATCTCTGCCCAGACTGCAGCTTCCCGTTTGACAGCATGTTTCACTGGCTCTTCCAGTAAGATGGCCAGTAAAGTGTCAGAAGGAGATCTAGTGACTTTTCACAGACTGTGACAAAGTTCATTAAGAAAACCGGTTATGGCCTCTCTGTGCGTTTTCTTCATGGTTATGTCATTCTTGAGTACCATCATCTATTATTTAGAAAAAGGTGGCTTACAGAGATTGAATATACTCTCATTCAGTGCTCATTAAATGTATTTATGTGTTGAAATATCTGACAATGAAATAAGGACAAAGTAGAGTTTATTTTTCAACTTTAAACCTTTTAACTTGGGTGGGAAAGCAGGGCGAGGTTAAGTCAGGTAGGGAAAAAAATCTAGTGTATTAAAAAAAAAAAAAGATGATCAAGTGTAAACTTAGAACATGCCTTTTCGAATTTATTCACGATAGTCTTCATCCTGATGATGGTTAGTCTCTTTAGTCTTTTGTCACCCAACACTCTAGCCTTTAATAATGGAATGAATCCATAAAGAGTTGCTATGACAAAACTTTGCATCCAGGTTGGTTAACGCAAACGGATTACGAGTAATTTGATAACTAATTGTGCCATTCTTTCTCCCTGTTTGATTTTAGCTTTGCAACCTGATAGATCCGTTATCCTGGGACAATAAAACCTTGTGGACACGCAATCCCACTTCTAAAACAAAAGAGGCGACCAAGCGCAAAATTACTAATGATGTGTTTGTGGCCACATCCGCCAAACTCCAAACACTAACACAGGAGAGTTTTAGTTTTCTCTTCAGGATTCACAGACACAAGGTCTCACGTTGCTTACACTATGGTGATGGTCGTCAACAAAGTTCTGTTTGCATGGGGGAAAGCTCACCAACGGGCAAATATTTTGGGTGTATACTTTGGTTCTTGATGTTCTTAAGTACAGGCGAACCAATTCTGAGAAGAAAACAAAACCCAAACTTTTCCAAAAAGGTTGCAGCAGATTCAGTTTAGATTTGCGTGTTTTAAACAATGTACAAAAGGCTTAAACACTGTTCTTGAGAAGGAATTGCCAACGCCTAGAAAGCAGGTGTGCTGTTACAATCAACTCTTCTTTCAAAACATTAATAACATTTAACTTGATAAATCATAACATACTAATCCATAAAATAATCATACACTTACGGCAATTACACAATGTTTTACTATCTAAAAACCTTTAGCCAGTATGTTTCGCCAATTATTACCTTTCCAAAAACACAGATGTTGTTTCCAGCTGTACCTACAAGAAGCCTTTACTTATTGAGCCTTTAGGCTCAAATGTGATTTCACTCCAAACGAGGAAAATGTGCACACAAAAAATACAAACGAACAAACCAAATAACACGCAAGTCTGACAAATCAAGCGCGGCGCTCGTAACTCCCGCAGCAGGTGCAGATACACCTGTGACCGAAGCAGGTCTGAACATGACAGGTGAACTGAAGAGCCCAGACAGCACAACTGTGTAGCGGAATCGGCTCTCGGCTGTCAGTCCGACTCCTCGTGGTAAGACACAGTTTCCAGAATTACTGAGACGAGTCAGACTGAAGAAGCTAATCTGTGTCAGTTCCAGCAAATTAACCAAGATTAAGCAGTAAATAGTGCTCTATTTTTACATCACGGGATCATTTTCTGTTGATCATCTCTCGGTAGACTATGGACCTACAGTGGTGAACTTACTTGTCATGCTCCTGTGACATCTCTTATGGTCGAACTGGACTTTCTAGTTGGTACTGTAAATCCGATCCTTCTTCTTGTATGGAGCAACGTTTTCAGGATGGGATGAGGGCTGCGTTAGAATTGCCTGTATGAGAACGGGTTTTGTTGGCTTTTCTCGCTTTTTTGGATATACTGAGAAATTGGGGCCGGTTTTACCTGTGACGGGGCACTGGATTGGATTACACCTGAGAGGAGGAGCTTAATATTCAACAACGCTCATTGCTTATGGTCTGTGCGTGTTTAACTTAAAAACCCAATGAAATTAATGGTGCAGTGTAGTAGTGTTTTTTTATTTTAGCACTACATGACAGCAAAATCTTAGTATGTTTTTGTTTCTGAATGACCTTTAAATTGTTCAGAGCTACATTTTGCTGTAATTTAGACAGTATTTTAATTTTTGCAAACATGTCTAATTCAGATTTACCATAAAGGATACTCCTTTAAATTTAATACAATTGAATATTACTTTTGTAAGTCTTTTAAAGGCTTCTCTATAATGACAACATTTACATTAAAAATGATATTCAGTGTTACAGAAATTAACGTTTAAACTGTTGCTTTGTCTTACTGCATGCTTAAGACGGCCTGAGGTTGATACAAATTGAAAAATTTGTACTAAAATGTAGAAATTACAATTGTAACTTCAAATTATATATAGGCCTATACTGTTATCACCAGAGAGTAAGGGACACATTTGAACAGTGAAATGTGTTATTTTGCTGTAAATTAGTTTTCATGTTGTAAATTTTCTCGGCAGCATTTCTATTCACATGTATTCATGTGTCTTTAGTTTCTTGTGATTTGTATGCATAACAATATTAGGTGTTGCCAATACAACATTAAGTACCCTGCGTTCTTTTAGCGTAGTAGGATAGGCCCGATTCAAACTGCTGTGAACACCCACACCAACCCAAAACGGAAGATTAGAGTTCCTTAACTGACAAAATGGGGTTAATGCAAGTATATTTAATAAAACTGATCAATCACTTTATAAAACATAATACTATAACTATAGCATAATAATGTTGCATGCTAATTATGTAAATGTTCAAGAAAAAGATACTGATTTTAACCCAAATGTTGTCTTACAAAATTACACATGCTCAGCAAATGTGAACAGTCTTTTGAATAATCTGTTTGTTTATGAGCAAAACACTGATTTGTGTTTATTTACATATCATGTTAATAGTCTACAAGTAGTCTAAAAAAATTAGATGTATATCTTGCTTGCAGTTCCCAAATTCCAAATCATTTACATTTTTTTAATATGCAAATCACCCAATTTGATGAAACCCATTTCCCCCTCAGTTTCTGTGACATTCTTTTACTGAAAAGGGTAATTAATATATATGTGTAAGCATAGAAAGCCGTTCTCACTACTGGATAAGTATGTTTATACAGTTAAGCAGAGATAATACCTAAAAAGATACAGAGATGAGAAAATAAACATCACCTCTTCTTAGTGAGAGAGGGCTTTAGAGATGCTATCATTCAGTTTTCAGATTATACTCCCCACTCCATACACACACTTCTCCTCGGAGTCCTGCTGCAATGTTTATTTACCCTAATGCCCAGAATCTTGCTTGAGCAGGCACACTGTTTATATTTGCTGTCATGGCTTTGAATGTGTGCTGACAGCAGGAACGTATTAGAGACCGTATGCAAGTGGAATGGTAGTTGATGGTTGATGGCAACTGGCAAAGCTTAATTTAGTTATTGCTACTTGTTTATTTTGGTTTAAAAATGTTTGAAACAGGGTTTTAGGACTCTAGAAGTTGCTTTTAATGATATATTTTATATATTTTATCATTAAAAGCAACTTCTAGATTCCTAAAACCCTGTTTGAACTCAAGAGCGGGACGTGATTGTACACATGGAACTAACTTAATAAGGATTTATTCTCTTGCTCATAGCAAAACAACCGAACCAACACCCATTGAAAAACACCCTACAAAACTATGCATTCAAAGAAAATCCTTAAAAGCCTGAAGCAAATTATAATCAACCAGATAAAAAAAATCCCACAATTATTTTTTTATCTGTTGTTTCAGATCTGCAAATTTGCAGCATTTATTTAGCTTTATAATAGTACTGAACAGCTGTCATTTGTCATATATTTCTTTTTTAAACGTGTGTAACTTGAACTAGATGAATACTGTAGAATATGGAAGAAACTGTATTATATAGAAAACATCAACAAGGAAGTACAGTAACAGCAGCCTGCGAGTCATAAGAGATTTGCATGGATGACAAACAGATGGTGTAGACTTTACAAGCTTATGCATCCCGCTAGATTTTTAGTCACAAGTGTAAATGAAGATACAGGTCAAGTAGAATCTCAGAGCAGTAGGCTGTAAATGGGTTCACTGTTTTATATATATATATATATATATATATAAAATATATAGACTGTAAAATTGATTTTTTTTTAAACTGTATTTAAAACTTTTTACATTTAAATAAAACATGTTTTACAAGAAAATACTATTTTAGTCTTTCTAAATTTCATGTTTAATCCAATGTGTTACTTGCCGATTCTTTGTGATTATTTGTAAAACTTACTAGCAATTTTTGAGTAAAAATAGTTTCTACACATTATTTTTAGCATCGGATGAAACAAAATATTTACATAAATATATAATACCTATATATTATATTTACAGTGTGCACTGTACCACTGTTAACACTTCAATTATACTGATTAACATATTCCTTAGAAGGACGGATGGCTGGATTTGCTTGAGTCTATTTGAAGTTCCCTCAGGATGTGATGTGTGATTCCTCTCTGTTTGTGTTCTCTCTCCTCGCTCCTGCTCTTGACAGTTATTTGCCAGCTCCAGTCATAAGTCTGAGTGCAGAGCACCAGGATGTGAGGGTAATAAGATGCAAATACAGACCACCTTTTAGGCTTGCCAGGACTCATCCTGACTGCGTGTATCTTATAGAGTCTAGTATTTCTCAGTGTTCAGCCAGGTACCGATAAAGTCGTACTGATAGACATTACATCCAAGCCACATCCTATTTGCTCTCAGTAACGGCTGCTCACCTCTTCACTGCCATTTGACCAGTTACTGCCTCGAGACAAAAGCGGGATGTTAAGCAAATATAATAGAAATACTGAAGGATCTCCATGATGTGCTGAAATTGACATGCCCAAATGACTAACTGCTTTTTGCGTTTTCCCAATAAACAGAGCAGCGGTGAAGGTTGCTGGGATAAGCTCTGGTGTTTTGGATAAACTATTAGGAAGATGTTATCAAGCTGTCTTGTGTGCTTACAGTGCAAACACAGCGAGAGGGTGAGGGTAGCGTGGGCCCGTATGCTGAACCCTCCTCTATCCCTGTCCTTTCATGTCTGATATATCCTTGAGGTCAGCAGAAAGGTTGGGTTTTATGGGACATGAACGAACTGGTTGATTTAGTTTAGTGGATTATTAAATTGCTTGGGAAGTTAGGCTAAAGAGTATATTGTTAACCTCACATCAACTGACATCAATCACTTAATTTTTCTTAGTTACTGTAGGCAGATCAATAATAAATAAGAGCATTTAGGAAAAAAATATTTAAAAAATATAATTTAAAACACATGTGCCAAGTTTTGTATTCAAGTTGGTTTCATTCGTTTATACCATTTTTAAAGCCTTAATTTAACGACTTTAAAATGTCATGTGGTGTAACTATTATTTTAATCATTCATTTTTATAACCAGTGTTTATACCCTGAATACATGTGAGTGTACACATCTTAATCATTATTATTTTCAATTTTATTTATTTATTTATTTAATACAAATATTATGAATTATTACCTAGATTTATTAATATTACAATGTTTGAGGCATTTCTGAATTTTTGAAAATTGTAATACCTTTTTCAAGAACTTTTTTTTTTTAGTATATGCTGAATACATGTGAGTGTACACATCTTAATCATCATTATTAGTTTTAAAAATAAATATATGTTAATGTTTTTTAATTATTAGTATTTTATTATTAACAATATTGATAAATATTACAATTTTTAAGGTTGCACCACATGACATTTTACAACCTTGTCTTATAAAAAGGTCAAATGATCTGATATTTTAAGAAATTGATCTTGACACTGCAGTGGTCCTCTCTGTGATGTAATTTCCTGTTTTATGTTTTCTCTGCATGTTTCTGGAGTTTTTTTACTTTGCTGGTTGCACCACATGACTTTTGCAGACAATTCTAATATATTCATTAAGACATCAGGACAGTTGTTTGGCATTTATTAAATTATGCTCCCAAAATATATCACAATTCATTTTAATACAGAAACTAAAAACATGCTTGTCATAGAAGTCATTGTATTTGTGATTTGTGTTTTTGAATGAATGAATAGTTTACGTCATTGACCAGTTGTTACAGCTGGGCTTTCTGTCTGGTCACATTACAAAAATGTATTTGGCCAAAATGAAGCATTTCGAAATCTAAATAATGACCAACATCATTTCCATAGGCATTTCGTGTCAGAGCAAGCTGCCAGTTAATGTTGACTCATGATATATCCAAGGTTTTGCCCAGTGGGTTGGGTGAAAGAGTTCATTTGTACAACAATAGATGGTGGGATGTGTTCCGTTGTGAAGATGTTGCAAGACATCTGATTGGCTTGAGCTTGCAACTGTCAAGACTAAAAAACTGACCCTTTTCCCACAGCAGTTTCACTCACTTATCATTTTCTTTCTTTTTCTCAAGCGGTTGAAGCACGCAAGTTCAAACATGTTTGAAGCGCAGAGCAATGCTTCAGCACACCCATCCAAAAAAATATGACAGGTACATTTGATAAGCAGATACTTGCAACCTCACAAAATAATTCTCAGAGGGTTGACAGAACCTGTAATCTGCATGACATTGTCCTCAGAGAAAATAATGATACAGTATTGTTTAAAGCAGGTCCCCTTTTTTTTACCGAGGTAATTGCGGAGTCACAAAACTAATTATTAAAGCAAATATGCAGTCAGACTTGTGGGTCTGTGTTTTATATGTACATATATTTTGCATTTATGTTAGTCCTAATAGAATGTTTTTATTGGCCCCTTGTTACATAGACATCTTGTTCATTTACATTGCAGGATGTTTTTATCACTGTGAG